TATCCAAGCACCGCTTTAGCGAATTTCTTATTAATTATGAAGGCTACTCCATTTCTTCGATGTTCCTCTTGTCCGCAGTAGTAGATCTGGTGGTCATCTGATGTGACGTGGCCCATTCCAGTCCATTTCAGTTCGCTGACCCCCAGAATGTCTATCTTTAGTCTTGACATCTCACCAATAACAACATCCAATTTGCCCTGGCTCATAGATCTTACATTCCAGGTTCCTATGGTGTGTGATCTTTAGAGCATCGGATTCGTCGTTCACCTCCAGTACCGTCGGCCGCTAGCCTTCCTTTCGGCTTTGAGCTAGCTGCGTCATCACATCTGGGGCTAGTTGAACTTATCCTCTGCTCCTCCCCAGTAGCATTTTGGCCATCTTCCGACCTGGGATAAGGTTGTAAGTCTACTGTAAGGCATGACATATCTCTGGTTGTACTGGTCCATTTAGTTTTCTTGGCAAGGATACTGGAGTGGTTTGCCATTGCCTTCCCCAGGGATCACGCTTGGTCTGACCTCTCTGCCACAACCGTCCCGTCTTGGGTCCCTTCACGGTTTCGCTCATGACATCATTGAGGTGCTCAAGATCCAGCGCCCCGACAAGGCGGTGATCCTTTGCTGGAGTTATTATCTATAAAGCTCTAAATCAGTGGTTCTCAACCTGCATGTCCCCAGGTGTTTTGGCCTACAACTCCCAGAAATCCCAGCCAGTTTGCCAGCTGTTAAGATTTCTGGAAATTGAAGGTCAAAATATCTGGAGACCCACAGATTGAGAACCCCTTCCCTTAATTGTTTTGGCTCAGACTATTAGAAAAAATGCATCTCTGTATACAAACCAGGACGAACACTGTGGTCAACAGAGGAGGTCCTGCTCTTGATCCTGCCCCATCTCAAGTGCGTTTGGTGGGAATGAGAGAGGGGGCCTTCTCCGTGGTAACCCCTTCCTCTGGAACTCCCTCTCTAAAGGAATAAAAATGGTCCCCACCCTCCTCTCCCTTAAAAAACTTTGAAAAACTCACTTATGCACCATAGTATGTGGAGAGGAGGAAGATTAGAATATCTTTCTGTATATCCTCACCTAGATATTAGACATCTACTTCAGCCTGTGGAAATTGTGTGTGATTGGTTATATTATGTTTATTTTAGTTCAATTATGTATTATTTTTGTTCAGTTTATTTTGAGGTTGCTTTATCCATTGATTTATCATTGCCTGTTTTTGGCATTGAATGTTTGCCATTTTGTTAGTTTTGTTGGAAACAGCCCTGAGTCCCCTTGGGGAGATAGGCTGTGGTACAAATAAATAAATAAATAAATAAATAAATAAATAAATAAATAATTGGCCATGCAGATGTGCCTTGCTTTTCAGTATGAGATGTGAATAATAAACAAGTGTTCTTCACATTGTGTTAGTATTTAGGGTGGGGTATGACCCTACCCTGTTGGGCTTCATAGGTGCAAGCAGATGAATTTTATAATCACATAAAAATTATTTCAATAAGAGGTATGCTGAGAACCAGATAGAAATCTTCTGGGGATCATAGAAATCTTCTGGGGACCTGTGTTGCAGCCCAAGTGTTGTGAAGGATGCTGTCACTCTGTGATGGTGTTGAACTACACACCCTTTTATCCTTCAACATTATCCAGGCTAAGGATGTAATTAAATTTCTTTTTGAAAAAGGCAATGGATACGTATAACACTTTTATTGTCACTGTATGAATTTCTTGGAAAACAACACCATTTTGATGCCCTTTTGTAATTCAGGACTTTTTCTGTGAAAAATGTACATGTTATTGTATTGCAGAGAAAACAGCACTGTACAGATAGTACTATTTTCTATGCAAACCACCCACATTCAACATTTTGTGCAAAATAAATGTCCTAATGTAGCACTTTCTGTCCAGGAAATGTCAAATCAGTCAAAGCCAAAATTTGTGCAGAATATATCCTAAATGGTGAGCATTCTCATCAATGTATGTGGTGTTGTTATTAGGGTTTTCAGCATTCGACATACACGTTTTTGATAATTTTGTGAATAATTTTCAAATCTTCCCATATCCAGGGCAGGCAGGCTGGATCTGACTGGAGTCCAGTAATGTTTAGAGGGCCACAGATTCCCTAATCCATGGAGTGTGCTGGTTGGGAAGATGAGCATAAAGAGCCAGGCCGTGACTGCCACTTCTCTTCCATCACTGAACACTGGTGTCCATTTTGGAGGACATTATTATCCAAATCCATGGAGCTAAGAAGATGCTATGGGCAAAATATCAGTTTATACTGGCTTCATTGTATATCCTCGTATCAGACAGTGATAGTCTCCGGGTGTTGCGAAACAGTGTGGTTTCATAAGACCGAACATAATAGACTAGCAGATGTCATCTATTCCCAACCCCCATATGTAGATTACACCACAGAGCTTTCTTACATCTCATAGATTAAGCTCAGCAATTCATGGTGGATATGAAGCCTTATGCTTTAAAAGTTTATTTTATCTTCATGGGTTTTGGAACTAGCACATTGAAGCTTAAAAGCAGCATCAAAGAAGTCTGCCACTTTCTCAAATTTCCAATTTAGTACAGAGAATGGAGGAGACTAATCACAGAGGAAAATGGAGAGACAAATATTTTCACATGTTCAAATATTGTTTTTAAATAAAGACAAATAATGTACCATTTAATTGAATTTTTGATGAAGAAAAATGTCATGGGATGAAGCAACAAGGGGATTTGCAATTACAAAGCAATTGTTTATCTCATCTTCATAAAGCTTTTTAATACATAGGAATAGCTCTTTTGTCCCATCCTGGTAACAAATACTGGTTACATTACGCTTCTTATTGTCTTTATTTACAACACTGATATTTCAAGGAAATTAAAAGTCTGTGGCTTTGCAGATTCTTGTTCAGCGTACAAAGCAACTTATACAACCATGTCAGTTACATTTGTTCAGTTAATGATCTTAATTTTTGATAGCTCCAGAATGTTGTTTTTAATCATGCAGGTTTATGAAGCACTGGAAGGAGGATTTTGGATTCATCAGGGATTAAGAAGCATTTAATGTATTTTGAAGATCCAAAATATGTTTGCTTTAACTGGGCATACCAGTAAACAAGTCTGGAACAAGGGGTTTATCCTATCGATCCTTTAGGCTCAGATTGGTTATTTGCTGCCTTGAGATGACTAAATGACTAAATATTTCCCCAAAAGCCTATGTAATCCAGTTTCTGAATGCAGATTGTCTGCTTCGAACTGGATTATATGAGTCTACACTGCTATATAATCTGGTTCTAGATTCAGAAACTGGATTATATGGCAGTGTAGATGGGGCCTCATTGATCAGGTGGTAGAAAAGATATGAAATACAGCTGAGCTAACTCCACTCTGCATTTTTTCCCCATAGCATACTGTTCCCTCTCCAGTAAATTACAAAACAACCCAGCATATTCTGTCTCAGTGCAGCCTCCCTGTAAACCATATGGTACCAGGTAGCTTGCATATAGTAATCCATGCATTGGTAAGTTCCAGTTAAACTACTTCAATGCACTCTATATGGGGCTGCCCTTAAGGATAACTGGGCAACTGCAGCTAGCTAGACTGCTCATTGGAACACCATCAGTTTGGAATTAATTCCATTAGGTGTAATTTACAATGCTTCCAGTCTGAATTCAGTGTGCTGGTGTTAACATTTAAAGGGTCTGAGACTGTGTGTGTATATATATATATCCCTGGTAACTGAAATCTATTTGGGAGGGGCCTTTCCTGTGTCCCAATGGTAGGGGAAATACATTGTGGAAGGACATAGGAGAGGACCTTCTCTGTGGTGGAATTCCCTTCCCCTGGCAGCAGCCAACATTGGGGACTAACTGTTTTTATCCAAGTTTTATATATTCTATAGTTACATTATTTAGATTATTCTAACTGGTTTTAAAACAAGTGGTTTTAATTGGTTCACTAATGTTTTTCATCTTCAAAATTGTTACTTGAAGTTTTAAATGATATCTTCATGTGTAGGTTGGGATATAAATATTTAGATTAATTTTTCAGTTTTCTTCTGAGCCACCTACACAACACTGTTTTTTTTGCTTTTCCAGCTAAAGAGATGCCACTGAAATCTGTGGGACTGATAGTGCTTTGGCATGTCTCTGCCATAAGTCTAAGATGTGGCCAGTGAGCTCAGAAGCACCATACATCTCCCAAGTGTGTTATGTTGAGTGTAGACTGCATCAGAAAGTATTCAGACTAATTTCGCACCACAGATTCATCAACACAATATTCATTGCACCAGTCTGAAAAGAATGTAGAAAGAATATTATCTTAGTTTAAAAACTAATCACTCTAGGAAATGATACATCCCAAGTGTTAGTGCCTGGGAATCAAATTAGATGTTAAGGGGCATGTGTATTTCCCACAATAATTACATTTCCCCCTTCTACAGCGGCATTTCTTCAGAAATGTTTACTTCAGCATATAATTTGTAAACTAAGCATGTTTTTGTCTTTTAGTATCCATTCACAAAATCCACAACAAGTAAGCAAAAGCAAACACACATTACAGCAAACAAATATCTTTCGTTTCTTGAGGGAGTACATTTCTGAAAACATCTCAATTACATTTTCTCAATTTACTTTTGGTAATCTTGAAGGAATGAAGGTGATTCTGTTTATTCAATTACTGCCTTTGAATTTGATATATTTCCCCAAGTTTGGTAAGAAGTTTCTGTTTTCCTCTTAGCCATCAATTACCTTTGAAGGCATCCAACCCTTATTTTTTCCATCCTGGAAGTTTATCTTTTACTGTAACATCCTTCCCATGCTTCATCAGTGTCACATTATCTGTACTAACGTCAACCTGTTCTTCTTTGAATTGTTTCAAGGCAAACAGAGGAAGTTTCTGGATTTTAAAATGAAAATACAATCATAGCTACGTGGAGGTTATTGGCCATCGGTGTGCAACTCAGCTCAAGAACCTGTTTAGAGAAGAAAAATTATTTAAGAAAGCCTTACCTTGGTCTCTGTATATCTCTTTTAACTCAGTAGTCATGCAGCAGAAATCCATTTTTTCTATTGAGTGTTCAGTATAATGAGCTGAAGAATGGGACTTACTGTGGCTGAGTTTATGCTATAATGATCGTGAACTCCACAGTTTATCTGACTGTGTCAAAACTGGAAAATACATCAGATCATCGCAGCTCTTTTCTGTTGGAAGACAACACAGTGACCTTCAACTGTTTTTCCCTATGGCCATCAGTCACTCATATGCAATTAGTCATTGTGAACTGTTGGGTAAACTCTTCGCTGCAGGCTCAAAAGAACATAGCCTGCAAGCAGCAGAGGAAATATGGATTTATAATCTAATCATTGTCTGCCATAAAACAGAATGCATACATGTACACATACTTGAATTTAAAGGGTTGCAAGCCTTGTAGAACATAGGGAATTTAATTGTGGACTAATGTGCTGATGAATACAGGTTTCAAAGATCAGATCAGAGGCATTTATTTTCCATACTTGGACCCCGCCCTTCTCAACCCTGACAGGGGGACTCAAGGCAGCTTACAGTGGCATACACGTTGTGCCTCAACAACAATTACCTAAACATTTCAAAAAATTGCAACATATTAAAACAGAGTTAAACAGATTAAAATTAAAAACTTAGGAAACACGCCATTCAAAGTTCATGGTCTGAGTCCATTCCAAGGTCAAATTGCGCAAGATTTCAATTCAAAATACTGCATTGCCCTGGTTTCCAAAGGCCTTCTCATAGAACCAGGTTTTGACTCTTTTCCTAAAGGCTAATAGGGAGGGAGCTGCTCTGATGTCACTAGGGAAGGAGTTCCACAACCAAGGGGCCACCACTGAGAAGGCCCTGTCTCTCGTCCCTGCCAGCCACGATTGTGAGGCCGGTGGGACTGAGAGCAGAGCCTCCCTAGGAGATATTAATCCACATGCTGGTTTGTAGTGGAGGATATGTCTGAACAGGTAGCCTGGGCTGGAACCATTTAGGGCTTTATAGACCAAAGCCAGTACTTTGAATTGTGCTCGGTAGCAAACTGGCAGCCAGTGGAGCTGATGCAACAGGAGGGAGGGACGGGCGTTGTGTGCTGTATTATACTCCCTGATCAATATGATGAGGACAGTCATAGGTAAAATCTCAGACTGCACTCACCTATTTCTAGCTTTGATGACAAAGCTTGCAGATTTCCTGAACCATACAAACCCATAGGTTTTCTGAGGGCATTGGGCGATAGTGCTGGCTATTGAAGGCTATATTTCTTCATAACTCATTCTGTGAACTTAAATCCAAAACAATTCAATTACGAGCGTAATACACTATCTGAAAATTAGTCCATGCTGTCTTTTCCTTTTCCAAAAATGGCACAGAGCATAATGCAAACTAATTAAAGTGTGCTTGACCTTGAACTGATTAACTAAGACATCCATATTGCCTGCATTTCTCCTTTTTCTAGTTTGGGAAGATGGTGGAGAGAGGAAGGCAGATTGATTTTTCTGATCATATATACTCCTCACAAATTATCCTATTCTTGGTCAAATCCAAGTGCAATTCTAATCAGGGCACGAAAGAGTATATCCTGCCCCCATGTCTAGCTGCCAGATAGTTTTGGAACAGGCATAAATGTCTTTTTCTCAGTAATAAACACTTTTTCCTTCCTTTAACATTAGAGCCTCAGTTCCTAGTGCTTCCGCTCATTGCTCTTCTACAGTTCACAGTTGCACTTTGCAGCTGATCATCCACACTTCACTTATCATCCATTTATTTATGCATTTAAGGTATTTATGCTTCACCTCTCAGCCCACTAAGAACTCCAAGGTGATGTGCAACAGATAAACAAAATGAAAACATCAAATACATAAATGAAAACATTTTAAACAAACTAAAAGCATATTAAACAAGACAGTTAAAACAACCAGAAAAAATACACTGCCAAAGCCTATGCAAAAAGGCATCATCTTAGCAGAAACTCAGAGGAAATGGAGCCTGCCTAACTTGCTTTGGCAGGGAATTTCACAGTTATGCAGCTGCTAAAGACAGCTCAAGCATGTATACATAGCGACCTAGCACTGGAGGCTGTTGAAGAATACAACAGGGCCTTCACTGGGGATCACAGCTTTCAAATAGGTTGATAACAGAAGGAGGTAGACTCGTCTGAAGTTGTTTGTGACTTCGACAGTCAAAACCAGTGCCTTGAATTAAACTCAGAAGCAAACTAGAAGTCAGTGTAGCTCTTGTAAAGCTAACATATGATCTCTATTATATTTGCACTAGCTACAGCTTCTTTTCATAGATTTATCAGTTACAAAGGACAACCCAATGTAGATCACATTACAGTAGACTAATTAGGAGCCGCTCCGAGGCCCCTTGGGGAAATGAGGCAGGATGCAAATAATGATCATCATCATCATCATCTTCATCATCATCATCATCCAAGGCATAAACTCTTGTAGATAGATCTATCACTCACTTACTCACACCAGGAAAGAGTGCTGCTGGTGCACCAACTAAAGCTGGGCAAAAGTACTCCTGGCCACTGAAACCAGCTCATCTTCCAGGAGCAGTGCTGGGTCCACGAGCATCTCATGTAAACTTTGTGTGGGGTGGAGGTGTATCCTGCTATATTCTTTCCATATGGCAGGCATGTAATAGTTGTGCAGGCAATATTTTATTACTGCCTTTTTTTAGTATTTGGCACAGAAATATTCTACTAATACATGCAATCCTCAAGTTACAAACATCTGACTTAAAAATGAATTATAGTTAAGAATGGGGCTGGGACAACAGGAAGTGAGAGAAATCTACACCCAGGAAGAAAAAATCACCCTGGGAACAGTTTTCATGGGGAAAAGGTGTCTCCACCCATCCTTGTTTCCACAACAAGGCAAATTTTTCAAAATCAAATTATCAGAGGGACAGAAAGTGAAGTGAAATCTTCTGAACAGGAGCACAGACAGGAAAATAAATACCACAGGAGGATGACCCCTGTTAATGTAAGATTAGTGTAATGTGAATGTTTACATGTAATTTTGTGTAATGCCTGTGAATGTAACCTGATTGCATTAGCAGAGAGTGTATTGACTCTGAAAGGGTTAATCAGTCAAGCCTCTAATGAACTGTGAAGTTGTGACCCTGAGTATGCCTGGAATGGATAGGGAGGATCCAGAGATAAGATTTCGTTCGTCCATCTTACTTCGGTGCTTTTGTCTTGTTTCTGTCTTTTTTGTTGGGTGTCAACGCGAGTGTGTGCTGTATATTTGCTCTACTCAGTAAAGCTATACGTTTGCTTTTACTGAAGTCTCAAAGTGTCCATTCTTCTAAGCTTCAAAGCTTCTGTCACATTCTGACAACCCCTTTCCTATGCTATCCAAAGGTATAGATGGATAGAGAGAGAGAGTTGTACTTTAAAAATGTACCAGTTTCAATTTACAAACAAATTTAATTTAAGAACAAATCTACAGAACCTATCTTGTTCATAACTTGGGTACTGCCAATATTAGATGCTTATCAGGAGTCAGTGATAGCAAAGGTTCTGGAGAAGATGTTGACCTCACAACTTCAAGAGTTCTTGGATGAAACTGAATATTAAGATTAATCTCAATCTGGTTTCAGGCCTGGCTATGGGACAGAGATGGCATTCATTGCCTTGGTGATCTATGAAGAGAGGTAGGTAGGGGAGTGTATCCCTTCTAGTTCTTTTAGAGCTCTTAGCGGCTTTCAATACCATTGACCATGGTATTCTTCTGGGTCGTCTCTCCGGGATGGGGCTTGGGGACACAGTTTTACAGTGACTTCGGTTGTTTCTGGAGGGCCGGACCTATATGGTGGAGCTGGGGGACTTCTGTTCGACAGTCTGGCCTGTGGCCTGTGGGGTCCCTAAGGGGATACCTTGAGACACCAGACTTGGCCACTGTTGTCCATGCCTTAATCATATCTCATTTGGACTACTGCAGTGCTCTCTACATGGGGCTGCCTTTGAATACAGTTCAGAAGTTACAATTGGTTCAGAGATTGGCAGCCAGGTTACTAACTGGAGCACTATACAGGGAGTGAACAACTCCTATGTAACAGCAGTTCCACTGGCTGCTGATCTGCTTCCAGGCTAAATACAAAGTGCTGGTTATTACCTATAAAACCCTAAACGGTTCAGGCCCAGACTGTTTGAAAGACCACATCTCCATATATAAACTAACACGAGTGCTCCAGTTGGCGAAGGGGGGCCTCCTCTTGGTCTCACACCCATCTCAAGCATCACTGGTGGGAAAGAGAGAGAGGGTCTTTTCCATGATCACTCCTCACCTCTAGAACTCACTCCCTAAGAGTTAAGAATGGCCTCCTCCCTCCTCTCCTTCAAAAAGTTATTAAAACATATCTATGCAATTTAACTTATGGAGAGGAGGAGAATTAAGTACATCTGTTTGCACCTTACCTAGCTGCTAGCAGCCACCCTGATAACCTGCTGTTTTCCATTTCTGAGTCCCCCCTTGTGGGGAGAAGGGTGGGATAGAAATATACAAAATAAATAATAAATAAATTTCTCCCCCAACAATTTTAGCCTACTTTTAGAGATTTAAATATTTTAAGGATTTAATATGTTCGTAATTATGTGGATTACGTTATGTCTTGTTCATTTATTTTGGTTTATAATTTATTGAGTTGTTCTTCATTTGTTTATTGATTTGCTTATATATTACAGTTGGCATCAAAGTTTGCCATTGTGTATTTTGTTGTGAGCCGCCCTGAGTCCCTTCGGGTAGTTAGGGCGAGCTATAAATAAAATTTCATTTCATTTCACGGTGTTCCATGTTAGTAATGTGATGGAAAACTACTATCAGACTCTGTAGCTCAGTATTCTTTACTCTTTCAGGAGTCGCTTTTAGGTAGACTTTTTTTCTGGCCATCCTTGGTGATCCCTAGTATTCTGCCATCCAACTGTTAACCAAGCCTAACATTGTTGAACTTCCAAAATCAGATGAGGCAGGGGGTGATCAGGGTGATAGGCTGCTGTCAGAGAAGGTTGGTGTAAAGGAAAAGATTAATGAAAGACACAAGGAATCATGGCAGTATTACAACTGGATAATGATGTCAACTTACACATATTTAAAATCGTATCACTAAGGCATAGTGAGTGTGCATTAAAAACCTTTAAAACAATTGATTTTAAAGAAGAAATAAAGAGAGAAATTATATTGAAAACTGCTCCAATTGTCTAGCTCTCTTACCTACAAAAAGGTCTGCATTGTATGTGGGCTGCCTAGCAGCTTTAGGCCTT